ATATATATATATATATATATATATATATTAGGGTAAACAAATCACAACACAAGAAAAAAAGAGATGTAGAACTTTCATAGTTGACGACTTGACGTTAAATATTAATAGGATAGTTTGGTAATTATATTTATTAAAATGAGTAGGTGGAGAGCCAGAATATATTTGTGAAGTGTTAATATTTGCTCCCTATTAAAAAATTATATAGAGACATATAATAATTGGTCATTTAATATCTCCATTACGGAGGTCAACTAAATTTACATATTGATTGACCTTACTCTATATGGTCATCAATAAAAGTCATCAATAATACAATAAAAAGGTGATTTCATGATTTTTGACTTAGACAATAGTGATTTAAAGAAAAACTATGAATTACTTAATTAATTCAATTACTCACTTATTTAAAAAGGAACTACCTCACTTGCCTATTTGACCAAAAATATGATTGGTAGAGAGTAAATTGTTTTAGTTTTTAAAGAATTATAATCACATGATTTAGACATTTTATGCAAAGTATTAATTAATAATCTTATAAAATCACGTTGAGGTGCAAATATTATGTATGGCCAGCTAATCCTTTGAGTAATTTAGCTAACTAAATTTAAAGAGCAATTTACCTCACTTGTGATTTTGTTTGACCAAGGCATTAAATTCGAAGAATAAAATATTACTCTTTTTTTCAAGCAAGGATAATCACCTATTAAATTGCATAACATAATATGGTCCATGGTTGTTACATACATACATATATATATATATATATATATATATATATATATATATATATATATGGAGTCCTGATCTCTTGTTCCATGTGGAGCAAGAAAATTAATCCACACTTTTTATATAGACCGTTAGATTAAATCTAACGGTCATTTTTCAAACCCACCTACGGTATTTTTTTTTAACTCAAAACCACTCTCACCCTATTTTTAGTTTCTATCTTTAATTTTACTATTGTCACCTATTAACAATAAAAGGTAATTATCAAAATAAAAATAGAAACCTTTGAAAAAAAAATAATACTAGTATATTTTACTTAAAAAATTGTTTTTATTTAGATATTTCTTTAAAAGAAAAACAATACTCGTATCTTTCAATTTTGCAATAACAGTTTGATATTATAACATTGTCCAAAAAAAATCTTATTGTTCTCCGTATAAGTAAATTAATATACTTCTCTAGTATAAGTAAATTTACCAACAGATATACTGTAATATTTGCATTTTGGAATATCGAATTGATTTATTGGACTTGAAATTGAAGAAAATTTCATTTAAAGTTTGAACAAATATTCTTTCTATTTCAATTTGAAGTTGGGCATTTGGTGAAATTCATTATTGAATTTGTGAATCTGTGAGTTTGATTATTGGATGATGATGTACTGACTATGGTGGGATTGTAGAATCCACCTCAGAAACAACAAAGTAACCCAAAAAAAATAGGTGAAACTTTTTTCACAACCTTATACATGGAGAGTAATCATTTGTCCACAGTTTTGTCTATGGATTCAAATTCAACACACGAAGAAATGGAGAGAGAGTTGATAATTACATTTTATTGTTATGTAAGTGGTAATGATAAAATTAAATATAAAAACTAAAAATAGGATGAAAATGGTTTTGTGTTAAAAGAAAAGGCCAAAGGTGGGTTTGAAAAATGACCGCTAGATTTAATCTAACGGTCTATATAAAAAGTGTGGATTAATTTTCTTGCTCCATGGGGAGCAAGAGATCATGACTCTATATATATGTGTGTAAGATTGCAAACACAGAGTTGCACCTCAACTCAATTTCAAACCCTTATGCTACGTTTGGTGTGCAGGAATGGAATGCCCATTCCAACCATTCCTTTGTTTGGTATGCAACTTAAAGTGGGAATGGTTATTCCATTGGAATGAAAATTCATTCTTAGGAATGAAAATCCATTCCACAACTAAACCTATGGAATGGCCGTTCCATTCCCAAGTAATTTATTTTAAAAAATCGACTTCCTAAAACACCCTCATATTCCAAGTCCAAAAACCACCATTACCTTCCACCACAATCATATCCGCCTTTCACCACCACCAACTTTCACCATCGCCCACCACTTTCCACCACCACCGCCGCCACCGCCTTTCATCACTGTTACTGCCACCGTTTGCTGTAACCACTGCTGCCGTCTTTCACCACAGCTACCGCCACCACCACCACTGCTATTGCCTTCCACCACCTTCCACCACCACCGCCGCCATCGCCTTTCACCATTGCCACCACTTTCCACCACCACCACTGCTATCGCCTTTCACTACCACCACCACCTTCCACCACCGTCACCGCCACACTGCCGCTGCCTCCCGCCACCGCTACCACGACCTTTCACCACCACCGCTGATGCCTTCCACAACCACTAACACCGCCGTCATCGCCTTCCACCACCGCCATCGCCTTCTACCACCTTCCATCACTACCACCACCACCACCGCCACCGCCACCACCTTTCACCACCACTACCTTCCGCTACCGCCACCACTACCACCACCGTCGCCACCTTCCACCACCACCACTATCGTTAATTTAATTTAATTTATTTGTTACTAAGAGGGATATTTTGTAGAATTCAATTAGAAATTTATTCCATTCTAAATTTTAAATTAATCCAATCAAATACTAGAATGGTTATTATCATTCAATTCCTACACATTTCATATTTACAACCAAACAATAGAATGGGAATGACCATTCCATTCCATTTCCATTCTTATTCCATTCCCACTTGCATTACATTTCATTCCTGCACACCAAACGTAACATTAATTCTTTCCTTTCCAAAGAACTCAAAAAGATGAGTTTGTTTAACAAATGTCTAATTTTACTTGCTTTGTTCACTTTCCTATAGAGTGGGCTTGTCATCTCTGTTCGCCTTGATGCTACCATAAAATATGGACAACATTTGCCTACTCACCGATGAGTAGGGAGTCTTTACTGACTCAATAGGTGGTATAACAAAATTATGACAAGTGTTTCAAATTTTATAAAATATAAAATATAACAAAAATTTAACCAGAATGTATTTAATCCATTTTAATCGGGTTAACCGCATCTTTCTCTCCATATATATCTATACACACACTTGTACATACATAGGTACAAAATAGGCTTTAAAAATTGGCTTGTACAAAATTAGGATTCAAGCTTCCTAAAATAATACCTTCTAAAAACAAGATCTTCCTAAAACAATATATTGTTTTTGTTCTTCGGAATCAAAAGATCAAAATTTAGGTTTCACCATAGCTATACAAATATAAATACATATATATATACTTACATATATATATATATATATATATATATATATATATAAACAAACAAAAATCATGTTATTAAAATACCCATTCATCTCCACTTCTAAAGTAATTCTTATTCTCATTGCAACAATCCTAAGTTGGACAAGAGAAGGGTAAGAATTTTTTTTTTTTTTTTTTAAGCACAAACTGGAAGCATTTTATGATTTTAGCAATGGTTCTTTATATCAATCACATATTTTCCACTTTGAGAATGTAGAGAGCAAAACCAAGCCCTCAAAACACTATTGCTATATCTCAATTCAATTATTTTTTTATAACGCCTAGACACATATTCTGATATTTCTAGGAATAGAGGTTAAGGATGTATACAGTGTATTTTTAGAAAAATTGTGTTATATCATATCAGTTATGAGGTAAAAGATAATATCAATCCAATTAAAAATGGGTTAACCCAGTTCTAATTCTATTTTTGTTATATATTTTTTAAAAAAAATTTAGGACACTTGTCATAATTTTATTGTACCACCTACCTAGTCAGTAGAAATTCCCTACTCACCGGTGAATAGGCAAGTATTTTCCATAAAATATAATGCATGGGCTAAGCGTATAATAATTATTTACAACATCACATAGGGGGTAAATCTAAACATTGATTGTAAATCAGGGGACAATTGAAAAGATGGAAACAAGATTGAATTTGCTTGAATAAATATTATTGATACTGAATCGTGTATTTGTACAGGGAGATTTCTAATCATTCCTACAAGTCAGGAATCTTTTACTACATTACAGGTTGTCTAGCTATAAGTCAGGCATTACAATAGGAAAGATAATATATAAAGATTATCTATTCTTAATATAGAAGATATGAAAGTTTGACTTCCTAACACTCCCCCTCAAGTTGGAGAGTGGATATCTTGCACTCCCAACTTGTGAATCATAGGAACAAAGATCTCTTTCCCCAAAGGCTTGGTCAAGACGTCTACTAGCTGATGTGCAGAATGTACATACCTTGTAGTCACATAACCATCTTGGATCTTCTCTGTAATGTAATGGCAATCTATCTCAATATGCCTAGTTTGCTCACGAAAAACTGGCACTACAAGAAAAGTGGGCTTTTACGACATAGTATTTACGGGGCTTTTTTATTTTGCCTTGTGATTACCACCATTTACGGAGTTTTTAAAAGAATCTTCATAATTGTTATATTATATGACATGCTTTCACGAGGATTTTATAGAATTATCGTAGAAAATTATTTTTACGGCATATTAAAGAGCCCGTGAATATTTAGATATATTTACGGCATATTTGTACACCTTTAACGGGATAAATGTTCATCGTTGAAGAAGCACTAAAATTTCACATTTAAGGCCTTTTTTTTTTTTTTTTCCCGCAAATAAGCTTGAATAGGCACAATATATTAATAAAATTACTTAAAAAATATACACAGGAAATAATGGAAAAATGAACTTAAGTTCTTTTGCGGTGTATTAAAGGGCTTGTGGATAAATTTCACATCTAAGGCTCCTTTTTTGCCCCGTAAATAAGTAATAAAAGTTTCCCACCACCCAATTTTTACTCCCCCGCCAAATTGCCAAAGTAAACAGGTGGTCGGGCACAATTAATAAAATTACTTAAAAAACCAAGAATGAATTTCACATCTAAGGTGCCTTTTTTGCTCCGTAAATAAGTAATAAAAGTTTTTCTCCCCCAGACATTTTCACTCCCCCGCCAAATTGCCAAAGTAAATAGGTGGCGGGCACAATTAATATATATAATCCGCTTAAATATATATACTGGACAAAAAAAAAAAGGAGGAAGAAGAAGAAGAAGAAGGAGGCCCAACTTCTATCAATTACTTCCTAAAAGAAGCTTCAACGAGGTTAGGGTTTTCAACCAGCGAAGAGGGCACACGGTGGACTAGCAAGTGCTGGTACGTCCATAACCTCCTCAAGTACGAGTTCAATCTCCAATTCGACATCCCCGTCACCTACCCTTCCACTGCCCCCGAGCTCGAATTGCCCCAACTAGATGGCAAGACCCACAAGGTTCGATTAGGTTTAATTTTTTTTTTTTTTTTTTTTTTTTTTTTTTTTTTTTTTATCAAATTTTGTTTGTCAATTTTTTTATCTGTGTGTTTGTGTGTGTGGGAATGATGTAATTTGATTTGGGTTTTTGCGGATTTTGTTAGATGTATAGAGGAGGGAAGATTTGCTTGACTGTGCGTTTCAAACCACTCTATGCTAAGAACTGGTATGTCCTTTATTATTATTATTATTATTATTCGTTTGAAATTCCCCTATTTTTTTCCCCAAGAAATTCGAACCACCAGCTCTCCAAACATCCCATTATAAAGAACAAATGGAAGAGGTTCAACAAGGTCCCACGGACACCTCTATTATGCAAGAAGTTGGGTTTAACACTAAGATTTAAAAAGGTTCACAATCAAGAACGGAGTTACAATAAACATAAATAAATAAGAGAGAAATGTTTTTTTTCTTTTTTTTTTTTTTCAGGAAAAAATGTATATTCAAAGAGCCATTTAGGTTTCACAACACAGTCACTGCAATAAAGTAACATTTGAGCATGCAATTTATCAATGCATTACTCGTCCAATACAGAGAACTGCCTTTCAACAACTCATATTGTAGGAAACATACATGGATTAAGATAGTAACCACCAAGTCATCAAAGAATTAAGAATCCAAAAGAAAAGAATAAACACGTACCCCTATATTTGCAAATCACATTAATTCCATGAAGAATCCTGACTTGTGAATCAGCACAAGTGATCATTAGTTTACTGGGGTCTTGTGGATAAAACTGGAGTAGAGTAACATGACATTAGGAGAATTTCACACTTTATAATAGAAACAAGATGGTAACATAAAAAGGCAACAAGATAAGCACAAATGGGAGAAAATTGACTACCTGGAAGCCAGTTATTCTTTTGTATGGTGACTTCTTCTTATTGTGTAAGCATATCTGAGATTCCAGTTGGAAGTGATTATCTGGTCAAATCAGGAAAAAAAAAAAAAAAAAAAAGCAGTTGATCAATTACAAGTCTTTTTTGGAATCCTTGAGGTTCAGAATTATCTTAATGTAGCTATATAGAAGGCCACATCAACCTAAGACTCAAAAGTATAGCAAGTCAATAAATTAGTTCTTAGTAGAAATAGCTTCTAATTTCATTTTAGATAGAAGGCACTCAGAGAAAGGCAACTAAAGTAACTCAATTACTGTGAGTAACTTGATATTGTAAATTCATAAATATTCTACCTGGAAAGTGCATTATTTTGGTATAGTATCTTCATGAAAAGGCTAAAAGACAGGTGAATGGCCATCACGATGGTGTTATGATGACATTTGATTTACTTTTCAAAATATTGCATAATGGATGACTGTTTAATAAATAATGAGTTAAGCTAAGCACAAGCTATATAGTTTGAGCACTATTTCCTGTTATACTATAAAATCATGATGATTGCACCTCATAATGCCACTGAATTTTTGGTTTGTAGTTGATGTATGTTGTGTTCATTGATATCAAATACTGAAGTTTTTGTTCTTTATCTTAACTCAACTGAAGTGACTTCATTTACTTGCTCTCATTTCCACCCTCTGTAAGTGAAGTAGATCTTTGTGAACACAATTTTTTATTTTATTTTTTTTTATTATAGAATTTTTTGATCTTAATTCAATTTCTTTAGCAAGTATTTATTCGATTTCGTTACAAAATACTTTGAGATTTTTGTGCATCACTAATTCATCTTTCATTAATCATGCACGCATTTGGTGGTAGAATAATGATTTGTTATTTTTTGCACAACTCTAACTTTGCGAGATGAACTAAATTTTTGTAATTGTGTACAAAACTTTATACCTATGAATTGTATAACATATGATGTAGTTGAAAGAGTTAAGACAAAAAAGGACAAGCGTGTTAAGGAGATTTGAAAATATATTAACAAGTCAGTAAATGTGATCTTATAACTAGATATGTTTATTTTGGTGAACAATGAGGGGAGAGCTTCAACTACCATACTAAAATATTGTTTTGCAATTATTTTCAGGCCTTTATCTTTGCACATCGTTGTTTTTTACTGTTGTTTCGCATTGACATTTTTCTTTCTCTTTCATAGTGATTTAGAGAAAAGATATTAGAAGGAAGAAAGTCTTTGCTCCTTGCTCCCTGGTGTTACAAGGTCTGTGTCATATCATTGTTGCTAAAATAAATTAAGTTATTTTCCCGGATTTGCTTTTGGTTCCTCCTTTTCCTCTGTCATTATAGCCCTTGTCTTTTAATTATGTTTGCAGTTGGCCAATGACCAAGAAAAGGATTTAAAATTTTCTTTCATAGGATTATATGGACTAAAGTATATGTTTAATAATAAAAATCTGCCTTTCAATTTGAGAAGCTTTAATAATAAAAATCTGCCTTGCAATTTGACAATTTTTTTTTTTATCTTTAGTGATAGGTTACTAGACAAAATAATTAAGCAAATAGTGATGGATAAAGAATAAATGCACATGACTTACAGGTTATTATATGTAGCGGAGTTTGCTTATAAAAGTTAATATTGTCTACACTAATTTTATGTTTAATTAAATGTTAAAGCTTTAATTTTATAGAGTTAATCTAAAGTATTTAAAAGGAGCACGGAGGTTTGCTGATCAGGCGCAAGCGAATGTGGGCTATCCAGAGAAGATTTTATGCCCTTGTAATTGTTGTCTAAATGCAAAGCACTAACACTTCGACATGGTGTTTAGGCATTTATTGGAAAATGGAATGGATTGGTGTGGTCGTAGCACCAACGTCTAAAAGATATGCAAAATAGTGTGGCCAAGTTTTAAATTTATAAATGACACTATTACCACTAATTAAAAATATAGCTAGGGTGAGTAGGGATTGTCCCAACGGATTATAGGTGCACTAGCAATGGAGACAATGTACAGGGTTAGTAGGTCGAGTGATCAAGAGATGGTGTGTTTAGGTTGATTAAACTATAAACTAAACTAAACAAGTTCAATGTAACACAAGCAATTTAAGTGAAATTTAGAAAAAACAAGAGAGTGAGATCTTGATCGGTTGATCAACTATACATCAACCTTCGCAATAGCACGAATCATTGCAAAATAGGGCTATTGGTCGGGTAGGTCGAACCACTGGGACTGCGCTAATCTATGGCAACCTAAGTGTCTAGAGTCATTTTAGAGTGATAAGGTGTAATAAAGAGTTGTTGATTGGTTTGTCACTAAGCTAGAAATGTAAAGATGCATAAAATAATAAATTGAAGGAGATTAAAAGGAGTGAAACTTAGGTGGAGAGGACTAGGGAAATGAATCCACCATACACCTCATAAACATGCTAGCTTGCAATTAACTTGGGGAGCTACTTATGTAAATGACCATGATATGTAGAGATGCATGATAACTACACTATCTTCAAGAAGTTCATACAATCAAGAGCTAAGTATAAACCATCTAAGTATAATCCAATAGGAATGGCCTATCAAATCCCTTACTTTGTATGGTAAATACACATGTAATCAAAGACTAAGTATAATCCATCCACGGTTGGTATGAACCATCTAAATTACATTAAACTAGGGGTGTAGTATGGTTCATCGTTCCTAGGAATGGACTATCAAAACCTTCACAGGACATGCCAAGAAAACCATTTCATAATCTCATCTCCATTCTCACTATGAAGATGCAAGTTATAAAATCATGAGAGAATATAACCTAAAACAAGATGATAAAACTCAACATAATCATTAATAGAAATTAAGATCCATTACAACATATGTAGAGCTCTAGATTATGAAAAATACCACATACATACTTCATTCCCCAAATTAAGAACAAAACTAGAGTATGCTTACAAGGGAGGCTTCATCACCTCCCTAGAAGAAAAGTTAGTTACCCATTGGAGCCTTAAAATGAAGAAGAAGCTTGAACTCCATCTCCAATTTTCGAGCTCAACTTTGTTAGCTTGAAGAACTCTTTTCTTTTTTCTCTTCTCCCTCCTCTTATCTTGTAAAAATGAAGGATATGAAATGTGTGGCCTTTGGTTGCCTTTTGTCCTCCAACAAAGCCCTCTCTCTCCTCCAAAAACATCCCCAACCACCTCATAAAGAAGTAAGTAGAAAATGAGGAAACCAATGCACAAGTGGCTGTCAAAATGAGAATTCCCAAAGGCAATTCTGCCCCAAATTCGAGCACTCTAAGCAAGGCCTTGAGCACTCGAAAATGGAGCAGATTGCTCCATACTTGCTTTGATTTGCCCGGACCTACTTTGGTGAAATGGCCATAACTTTGCGCTCCAAACTCTGAATGAAAAACCGTTTGAAGATTTGGAAAGCTAATTCAGAGGTTTAAATAATTTATGTTTTGGTGGAGATCCAATTCTCAATGATGGTTGGTCGAAAATGAAGATCAAGGCAGAATTTCATTGCTGCCAGGCAGTTCTGCGCACCTCTAGTAACAAGGCCATAACTCTCTGCTCTGAGCTCCGAATGAAAAACCGTTTAAAGATTTAGAAATATAATTCAGAGCTCTAAATCTTTCATGTTATGATGGAAGTCCAGTTCTTGAGTTTGCTAGGTCAAAATGGCGAGCAAAGTTCAGGATCCACTGCTGCCAGAAATTCAGCTTTGTGCCTTTTGATGGTCAAAACTCCACAAAGCATCCTTCTTGCTTCTTTTTGGCCAATGGACCTGAAAATATACAAAAACATGTAAATGGAGATAATCTACATAAAATAATCAATTAATGGACTTTGTTAATGTAATTTAGGGCGCTTGAATATACAGTATTCGGCGCTTATCACACCCCCAAACTTACATTTTGCCAGTCCCTTAGCAAAACCAAAATGCAAAGCTCAATGGAATGAAAAACATGGGAATGCTATTTCAAAAATATCCACCATGGCAAAAATAAACATAAACATAGCTCAAATACAACTTGAAACAGATAAAGAGCTGGAGACGGGATCATTGGGAAGACTACCTTGCATATATAAAGCATTGATACAAAAATTGGCAAAAACCATTTCAACATGCATGCATCAACATCATAGTCCATATAAATAATTCAATTGTCATCTCTTTAAATGGAAATAACTCAAACTCCAGTAAAAGTGAATTGAATTCTCAACATGCGGCTTTTACTTTCTTTTCCAATTCCAAGGCACAAGTTTTCAAATCAATGAATTCCCCTTTACATGAAGTCCCTAAGGCATGATTTTATTTTCAAGACAACTTTTGTTGCCTGTTAAGAATTTATTATAACTCAAAAGTGAAACATAAAATGGTTGTGCAGCGTTGAAATCCTTTAAGCTTTCTAACCAACCTATGTAGCGAGCGTTAGGCCAACAACTCCCAAACCAGACGGCTTTAGGGTGCTAAGCGTAAAGACACTCCTAGGGCTTAATAGCTCAAGTTGGAAAGGCTACGAATTCCAACAAACCATGTTTATTACACACATATTTTTGAATGACCGTGCAATGTTTAAGTCCTTTAAGCTTTCTAACCAACCCCTATAGCAAGCGTTAGGCCAACAACTCCCAAACCAGACGGTTTTAGGGTGCTAAGTGTAGAGACACTCCTAGGGCTTAATAACTCGAGTTGGAAAGGCTACGAATGTCAACTGATCATTATTTTCTTTCTTTCTCAGTTTTTTTTTTTTTTTTTTTTTTTTTTTTTTTTTTTTTTTTTTTAGATTCATGCCAAAAGTATTCATCCATTAGGTTCATCAAATCAGATTAATTAGGCCAAGGTCAAGGTCAATCAAGTTGCATGCCTCACAGTTAAGTTTCTAATGTGCATTTGTGCATTGTGAAACTCATAAGAGTGTAAATCCAGTAAGAATCTAATTGAGGCATTTATACAGACTATATTGTATTTTGCATGATTACTTCAAATTCAAATTTCTTTATTTTCAAAAATTTCTCAATTGCTTCTATACACAAGGTATTAAACATATGCTTTGTCTCCGACAAGTTTCAAGCTATACTATCATTGCTTTACAAAATAGTGATACCAAAACTATGCCAAAAATGCAATATTGCACCCCCAAACTTGAAATACACAGTGTCCTCAATGTGGGATATGGAGTAAAATTGATGACAAAAATGACAGAGAATAAAAAGGAACAAAAATACCCAGGGGGAGGAAACGGCATGGTGAAACAAAACCCCCAAAGTTGAAATGAACTGCGCCACCTGGAGAGCATGACAAAGAACAAAAAGAAACGACCACAAAAGGCATTAATAGCACAAGCACATATACAGAAAAATAATGAACAAAAAGATAACAGAAAAGAGAGAATGTGCATTCAAAAGGGAGTGTACATGATTACAAAAAGAGTTGTACATGGATCATGTCTACTAGAGCAACCTATACATAGCAAATTCTTACAGTGCAAAAGTAAAACAACAGATACAAGAGAAATATGCACATATAAAACAAAAGATAAGGTCTAACACTCGCAGTAGCTATGGTCCAGAGGGAAGACGGGCGAGGATGGAATGGAGGAGAGACTGAGTCTTACGCCGGTCGGCCTGAGCCAAACGACGTTCCTCAGTTGCAATACGGCGGTCTTCAGCAGCAAGACGACGATCTTCTTCGGCACGTGAAGAAGTCTCACACATAGTCCGAGTGTACGCGGACAAAGAATTTTCAAAACGATCCATCCGCTCATGAATACCGGCAATGCTAGCCCGGATGAAAGCCTGGTCCTGCTGAGAGTCGACCAAAGGCTCTACCCTTGCAGCGGCTGCTGCCGTGGAAGCATCCTTAGAAGGAGGAGGAGGTGGAGCTTAGATGAACAGGGGGGCAGCAGGCTGAGGGGTACTAGAATGGCTAAGAACATTGATCCACCGGCGCTTGGTAAAAATTTTAATCTTTTTGCCTTTTGGTTCATGGGGAGGAACAATGAAACCTTTGTGCTTTAGGAGCCGAGTGATGAAAAACGGCAAAGGCAATTTCCGATTTTCAACTCGCGGAGCCCGTGCATTATGAGCGTCATGCGAAAACTTTATAAATGTGGTCCAAATGAGCTTCGGGACGGAGAACCATTGGCCTTGGTCTATGGCATATAAGGCTTGCAAAAGGAGGCCCCTACGCTCGGTGCTATGCACCAAAGGGCAGACATTGTGCTTGAAAACAGTGTTAATGAACCAGAGGCGTTCCGGAAGATTGGT